TATATTTTGCATAAATTCTCACAGTCACAAGTCACGATTCTTGGAATTTATACACACTGCATATTTTCTTACATACTGAGAGGACAGGAAATAATTCTAAATAAGAGATGGCCAAAATGACATTAAATCGGTTTATGTCCACAAAAGAGCATGATTTAAGGTTAACAACAAAAAGCTCCATATTTATTTGTTCGTTTTTATTATCCTGTAAGCGGTCAGGGCCATTTTGAGAAGGGGATTTCCTTATAGAACAACATACTGGAGGCACAACAGATGCCTTCCATATCAATTAATTTAAAGCATCTTGCCCCAAGACACAACCTGCTTTCATATCTAAATTTTGTGTGGCCCTGCTTCCAAATCTAAATTGTGTGCAGCCCTGCTTCCATATCTAAATTGTGTCAGCCCTGCTTCCATATCTAAATTGTGTCAGCCCTGCTTCCATATCTAAATTGTGTCAGCCATGCTTCAATATCTAAATTGTGTGTGGCCCTGCTTCCAAATCTAAATTGTGTCAGCCCTGCTTCCATATCTTACTTGTGTCAGCCATGCTTTCAGATCTAAATTGTGTGTGGCCCTGCTTCCAAATCTGAATTTTGTGCAGCCCTGCTTCCAAATCTAAATTGCGTCAGCCCTGCTTCCAAATCTTACTTGTGTCAGCCATGCTTTCAGATCTAAATTGTGTGTGGCCCTGCTTCCAAATCTGAATTTTGTGCAGCCCTGCTTCCATATCTAAACTTTGTGCAGCCCTGCTTCCATATCTAAATTGTGTGCAGCCCTGCTTCCAAATCTAAACTGTGTCAGCCCTGCTTCCATATCTAAATTTTGTGCAGCCCTGCTTCCAAATCTAAACTGTGTCAGCCCTGCTTCCATATCTAAATTGTGTGCAGCCCTGCTTCCAAATCTAAACTGTGTCAGCCCTGCTTCCATATCTAAATTGTGTGCAGCCCTGCTTCCAAATCTAAATTGTGTCAGCCCTGCTTCCATATCTAAATTGTGTCAGCCCTGCTTCCAAATCTAAACTGTGTCAGCCCTGCTTCCAAATCTAAATTGTGTCAGCCCTGCTTCCATATCTAAATTTTGTGCAGCCCTGCTTCCAAATCTAAACTGTGTCAGCCCTGCTTCCATATCTAAATTGTGTGCAGCCCTGCTTCCAAATCTAAACTGTGTCAGCCCTGCTTCCAAATCTAAACTGTGTCAGCCCTGCTTCCATATCTAAATTGTGTGCAGCCCTGCTTCCAAATCTAAACTGTGTCAGCCCTGCTTCCATATCTAAATTGTGTGCAGCCCTGCTTCCAAATCTAAACTGTGTCAGCCCTGCTTCCAAATCTAAATTGTGTCAGCCCTGCTTCCATATCTAAATTGTGTCAGCCCTGCTTCCAAATCTAAACTGTGTCAGCCCTGCTTCCAAATCTAAATTGTGTCAGCCCTGCTTCCATATCTAAATTTTGTGCAGCCCTGCTTCCAAATCTAAACTGTGTCAGCCCTGCTTCCATATCTAAATTGTGTGCAGCCCTGCTTCCAAATCTAAACTGTGTCAGCCCTGCTTCCAAATCTAAACTGTGTCAGCCCTGCTTCCAAATCTAAACTGTGTCAGCCCTGCTTCCAAATCTAAATTGTGTCAGCCCTGCTTCCATATCTAAATTGTGTGTGGCCCTGCTTCCATATCTGAATTTTGTGCAGCCCTGCTTCCAAATCTAAATTGCATCAGCCCTGCTTCCATATCTAAGTTTTGTGTGGCCCTGCTTCCATATCTAAATTGCATCAGCCCTGCTTCCATATCTAAATTGTGTGTGGCCCTGCTTCCAAATCTAAATTTTGGGTGGTCCTGCTTCCATATCTGAATTTTGTGCAGCCCTGCTTTATATCCTTTTAAAGCTATTTAAATTATATGCAGTCCCTGTTTCCATATAAAACTAAATAACCTGTGTTGTTAAACTATAATTCAATTATCATTTTGCTTTAAACCTGATTATTTAAGTAAATTCGCTTGGTTCAATACTCATTTTATAGTTTATAGCCATCATGCTGTCAAATGTGTAAAAGCATGTATTCATCACATGACTGCCTTATTATTCACTGAATATGTATAGCAGAGGGATCTAGCATGAATTCCGGACCCACACTATAATATATGTTCTGAGGATCAGATCTTGTGATCTATACCTGCATGAGATATTGTACATTATGCACGTGTAATATACTTTATTGTGTCATCACATGTAAATAACGAAATGATGTCAGATATTCACAGATTCCATTTTGATATCACAATGATGCTGGATGTGAAAATGTCTGTTTTCTACAACATCTGCCTGAATTATCAATCTTTTGATCCAAAGGATCCTACATTTGTCTCCATTTGATATGTTATTTACCAAATTTGACTTCAATTTTTCATTTTATTTAGCCAAAGCCTGGCTGAAATTGAAAATTACAAAATTGTTTGATAATCATATACATTTATGTACATCAAATGGATGCTCAGTAACTAAGATTATCCTTTATCTGTCAGTTTAAAAATCATAGGACACAGGAGTAATATTTCCTGGAACCGAAGGCAATAGAAACATGCATCATAACAACCAAGCAAAAATATACAAACACAACAAGAAAGTAAAACCGAGCCACTATTGTTCTATTTTTGTAGTGTAATATGAAGCAGCTTGTGTAAAATACCATGTATTGCTCAGAATTCATGCCCTGAACAGTAATATCTACCCAACCATGCAAGTGCTCGGGCCTCCAAAGTGCAGTACATTTTCTTACACATGAAACTATAGAATATTTACTTTTTATTTGAATAATATTGTTCCCTGTGACTCTGCAATGTCATTTATTAAGGAGAATTTCTACCCCTAACTCTAAAATACTCTTTAGAATTTACATTGTAAAGAAAGATGTCATTTAGAAATTCTGACAAAAAATAACCATGTTATTAATCGGATAACCCTATAGTGATAAACAATATCAAGTTTTCTGTCGAACATCAATAGTTCAGGCTTTCTGGTTCATTTGAAGAAGTTGTTTGATTTTATCCCTGTCTCTAATATCTTGACAGATTAAGCAATAAAATGGGATAACTTTCAACTTCATATTAAATCATAGCACTTTAATTAATTATTTTCACCACATTTTTATTATCGAAGTGAGACAAAAGAAGTTAGGCGTTGGTCCAAATACATGTAGTATTTTTCAACTTGATATGCCAATGTCTTGACAATTGATGCTACTAAACTTGAAAGAGGATGGTTTGAAAGTTTTGATCAAGAATACTTGTCATTTTAACTAAAAAATAAAAAGTTGACTTGATATGGACAACTGATGTCATATTGTCAGGCTTCCATCATTATTTTGCAGATTTCAAAATAGAATAAATAGTAAAATTTGCATTACAAATTTACTTTTACTTGAAATAAAAAGAAACAAAGAACATTATAAAATTGCTCAGAGATAGAAAAGATTCTCAAATTTATATGACATTATTTTATGCCCATTAAAGCAGGACTTATAGATAAAATAGCCCTCTTTCAAATGCAAAATGGACAATTTTATTTAAATAAAGTTTATCTAATACAAATGAAATCAGCATATCTAACTTTCCTATCTTATATATCTTCTAAATTACTAACCAGTACCAATTCTACAAAACCTATAGTTTAGCCTTATCCAGGTACAAGTGAATCAAGATAAGAAAAAAAAATTGTTAGCTGTTTATTACATATTTTAATCCAAGAACCATGAACTGTCGCAGAAAGAATGGAACAAAATATCTAAAAATATCAAATTTCATTTATAAGACAATAAGTAGTGACTGATATCCGGTTATGTGAGCTGTGTTTATTTGTTTGTTTGTACAAGGCACAAGAAACCCTGAAACAGGAACTTAATCCACTCTCTAAAGCCAAAACTTTATCTCATTTACAACAACTGCAAAACAACTATCAGCTTTTAGTACTTGTTAGCCTAGACTTATGCGACCAGTGGGTCTACACTGTGGAAAGAAACCAAGAAGTACCTAGGGAAAACTCACCTGGTCAGGCAGTCGACCCCAGACCTTTTCGTGTTTGTTCAGGGAATCAAAATACACATACAACTGTGTTTGGGTGGAGGGACGAACTTTATATCCTCATTACCTCAGTCAAATGAAGGGTATGATACTTTGCAAATCTTGGTCACCTGTGATCAGTAAGGCATGTACCAAGTATATCTCAATCTGCATAAAATATCTTAGCACTGTGTTGGGCTAAAGGAAACTTGGTCTATGAAAGGTGTGGCCCTGATCTGCTGAATTGCATTGCACCTGTCCCTTTCAATGTCACAAATGAGATCAATTCAAGTTTAAACAACATCCCCATCAATGCATCCATTGTAAATCTGAGTGATAAACAGAAGCCAGCTCGGGAATAACACTACCATACCTATTGATGTATATCAGAGAAGTCTGTCATGACCCTAACCAAACAGTTTATTTGACAAATCAATTTTGTTTTTAAACATAATGAATGGAATCATAAGGAATCCGAGTGATTTCTGTAAGCTTATATGTCTTCTACATAGTAGTTTTAATCATCTTTGTATTCAGAAATGGAAATACACTGAAATGAGAGGAAAATCCGGAGTATTGATAATTTTTGATACAATGCAGCAGTCCAAATATCTTATCCAGGTTTTTAAGTTAAGGAAACATCGCTGAAATTATCATATATTTTAGTTTTAATTCAGTTATTTTTATAAACTAACTGAACACATACATGTAACATGGCTTTCCAATTTGATTTTCTGCGCCTGTTGAAATTTGATACCTCACTGCATCCTATATGTAAACACACGTAATGGTGACGTGAAACCAAAATAGGAAGGTATATATTTGTAAAATAAGAAAATACCGAATACCATTCGTCTGATCCCTAATTGTTATTACTGTAACCCCTCAAGACAAGCCCCTTCGCCTTTGTCACTAGTTTGTGTATGTCTAATTAGATTTAGGTTTAACTTACTCGCTAGGGTCATATGCCATTGGAACTGCCCCTTGGTTCTCGGTGTGTATTTCCATTACCGATTGCCTTGGAAATCTGCGATACAAACTAGCTCCATACCTTGATGACGATCGATTGGTTTCTAATAAAAATCTCCTCTGATTTAAAGATGCCTTGGCACCATTAACAAATAGTTGTCGGTGACGTCGACCGAAACAACGGCAAGAGCACAGTCTTACAGTTCTCTGCATCATGTCGACACTTTCACTTTCACTCAATGTACAAATGTGAAATCTTCAGAATTTTTCGTAATCATGCCGATCCGTTTTAGTCCAATGTCAGCCACTGTCAGTTTTGACTTAGAGAACGACCGGTGTCGTATATCGATTACACTTCAAACTGCATTGATCCACTAAGCCAACCAGTGTTGATATGCTTATCATGTGAAGAACATACTAAAACCACTTTTTGTGTCGTTTTGATAACATTGAAATTAAATTCCTTTAAACCAGCTGGCGGATGTAATTGATCGTGACATGACCTTCACATTGTTTATGGTTCGGAGGTGTGTCAAATCTGGACGTTTTGATTGGTTCGTGTTTAATACGTGTGAGGTAATGTGAGGAATGGGCCAGAAATAAAGGAAACAGCTGTATGTTGTATGTATTTTATGTCACAATGATTTGTAAAGTCTAATCATGTCTAAGTCTGATGCATTTTTGGCCTACCTTATATGATATTTGTGACACGATGGGATCCTCATTACCGTCAGTACCCGAGGAAAATCTCGGGTTGTTCATATGAAAGGTCCCCCTTATCACATAATGATAACAACTGCATGGAACAACAAACTTAGTCTCTTTGTGGAATTCCTTCTAACACCAAATCAGTCTTGTAATACTCGGGATGACTGCAATTTAGGCCATATTAATATCCCGTGCCTACCTGGTAAGGTGGACATTACCTTAGATGTTATTAGTGATTGACCACTCATTGAACTAAATTGTCAGCATACCAACAAGATATGACAAACTGCTATAGCTTCTCTTTCCACCCTAACATTGTCAATTGAACAAAAAAACCCAACAAAGTTGTCCTCTTTAAGAGACCGTAAGTCTATCGGGTGTGCTCGAATGAAACAACGGCAAAAGTATAATGAAGAAAAGTGTCAAACATTATGCAGTGACAAAGGAAATCCAAAACTCAATGGAGAACTTGTATAGCCCAAAACATATACATGAACTGTGGCAAATTCTTTAAAACCGGCGTCGCAAAATCAGTCGTTGACAATATCCCATGGAAATTCCTTAAACCGCGAACATAAGAGGTCTGTTTCAATTAAAGATAATCTATTGAGGAAAATTAATTTATAAGATGATATACAGTAAAACCAAAATGCAGAGCAATACCATTAAAAGTGATACCCTTAGGACACGAAAAGCAGTTATACAAAAATAAAAGGAAATCCAAAATGCCTACTTAAGAGTGAGGCAAATCTGATAAAAAAGAAATACTACAAGGAAAAAAAATAAATAGTGTATGACTTTGAATTCAAATAAAACTAAAGCCTTATTCATCTTTTCAGACGTCTCTTTAGTAACGTTCCATCTTTTACATTTGATAATACTCGGGTTCAATTCATCATGCACCATCACAAAAAACTTAGGTAATGATTTAATGATAAAAATTATTGGATTTTGGGATGTAGGGTTATTCTTAGAAGTCTTTCTTTCAATTTAAGATACCATGGATTATCTCAAAGAGATGCCAGCTTGTTTGCCTAGCACTTACAGGAGAGATCTTTGGTGAGATTTGAGTATCATATTTTTTCGAACCTGATTTAATTCCCAAACATTTAATGAGGGATTCCAAAGTTTGGATCCTATTAATTTTGAGATGCTTCCGTCATTTGTTTTTATATTCCATGAGACAAGTTGGTTCTTTGTTCGAACACATTTTGGTTCTGCCCTTTGTCCCCTGGTATGGTACGCAGGGTTATTTCCCCAGCTTACTGGAGAGATGATAGAGAACATAGGATCATGTTTTGCCAAGTAGTGTTGAAAGTATGCCAAAGAATGGAATCTTGGGTTTGATACATTTCTTTTTTGTGTGGACATCAGTCCTACATTTTGTGTGACTGACTAATGTACACTACCGTCATATATGTAATCTTTGTTGTGTGGACATCAGTCCTACATTTTGTGTGACTGACTAATGTACACTACCGTCATATATGTAATCTTTGTTGTGTGGACATCAGTCCTACATTTTGCGTGACTGACTAATGTACAACACTGTCATATATGTAATCTTTGTTGTGTAGACATCAGTCCTACATTTTGTGTGACTGACTAATGTACACTACCGTCATATATGTAATCTTTGTTGTGTGGACATCAGTCCTACATTTTGTGTGACTGACTAATGTACAACACTGTCAGATATGTAATCTTTGTTGTGTGGACATTAAGCACATGGACAATCTATTTGTAACCCCATCACAACACTTGGGTTCCTTTCATTCCTCAGCTTTTGTTTCTATTGTCATATGATGCAAGCCGTTGCAGAACATTAAACCCGTCAAAACAAAACAAGCAGGTAAATTTTTTTTTTAGGAACCGTGACCTTGATCCTCAAGTTCATTAAATCTTTCTTGGTACTGAACCGCTGATGCAGTGTCATTAAAAAAAAGTCATTACTTTATGCAAAGTTGATAATCCTTTTTTTCAGCAAGTCTCTTTGACATTAAAGCATGAACATTAAAATTCAAAATGTTGGCATAGTCTGATAGAAAGTAAACAGAAAATCTGTTTTCAATCACTGTGGTATTAATCAACCATCATAACTTCAAATCAACAAACCCCTGAGTATATTTTACAACTCAGAAAATATTGTCATGGTTTAATATTCATTTAAGATAAAAGAAAACAAATCAATACATATATTCTTAAATAAAAGATAATTTTATTTCAGACAATGATAGTAATGAATAAAGCATTCAGTTTTTTTAACCTATTAACAGACAGTATATAATGAGATGTTATCAAATATCTTATCAAACAAGGACTCCCTACAGAATCTTTCACAACATGATCTCACTGATACAAGGAATGTTCATCCACAACTCATGAGTCTTGGTACATTACAGATTTGCCTAGATACCTGTTAAGGTGACTTTAGGCCAGCAGCACTACAGTAGAAGTAAAGCTAAACAGAAAACATTTCATAACCCTTATTTAAAAGTAGGTATCATTATAATTACACTTACAACGGAGAAAATAACATAATTTTTAAAACAATTTAAAATAAAAAAAAAAAAAACCAGAAAAAAAAACACATCAAGATGGAAACTACATTTGCTTCAAAGTGGACTGCTTAAAGCTTAGTGTCAAATAATAACAATTAGCACTTCAGTCAGTTGAAGGACTTTTAGACAAAATATAGCGGAACCATTCAATACTCTTCAAAATTATGATAAAAATCACACTTTTCTTTATTCAACCTGAAACAACAAATTTGTAATTACAAAAAATGAGATATCAAATGGGTATAGTCAATAGCTTCAATTCATATTCTCCATTCTGCCTCAAAGAAATGGGATGAAACAGATCAACAAAAGCATGAATATATCTAACAATATTAAGTACATATTGGTTGAAAAACTTGTTTGTACTGAAACAAAGTCAACTACTGCAGCTGACCAATACAAAAGCATGTAAACAAACCTTACTAATCTGGATATTTAATTTTTCTATAATACAGAAGTCTTGCTGATTATTATTTTCTCAGTGTTTTGAATATCTGTCGCCATCCTAGCAGTTTCTTTCTAGATAAACAACAACAATTATACACTTTATTGTAATGCAAGGAATCTTGAAGCACACCTGTAAAACACTTCCCGACACACATCAAACAAGACATTTCCAGACATGATTTTCTTTTTCAACAAATCATCTTTAAGGATAAAAAAATTGAAAAAATACTGTTCTTTCAAATTTAACTTGGATCTGTCTGTAGTATTCCATTCTACTTTTACAAAATGATTTTCTTCATACATAAATTGGACTTAATGAAGAATAGATGTTTACTATACACTAATAAAAAAATACTCCTAACTTGAAATGCTATGTTTATCATCATCATCAAATACAAGATTTAATAAGTCATGATATTATGTTTTTTTTTTCTACTGCTTTACGGTCTACAGTCCCCTGTTGTCTAAATCTTTCACTTTGTAAATGCGGACAAGCCAGTGCTCTGTTGTATATGCTTCTTCTAGAACATCAAGTTCAAAATCTTTGTTTCCAATTTCTGCATTACGTACTCGGTCATAACCTGTGGGTTTTCCTGAAAGTAGATGCAGAAGTAGAGTGATGTAGCAATGTTGTTGATGAAACCACCACTATTCTTTTTTCAATTTAATCGAGAATCTTTGAATATATTTTATGGCCTTGTAAATGAAAAAGGTCATAAGTTATGTATGAAAACAAATATGAAAGAAGTTCACCCAGAGAAGTTCAAAATTCACATATGAATCATAATATTTGAAAGCCGCAAAAGGGCAGTAATGGCCCTTCTGTAAAACACTTTGATGTGGAGAATACTTTATTTCACGAACTCACCTGTTCAGACATATTCCTGGATACATTATTTAGCAAATATTGATCTAGAAAAGTATTTGAATTAGTCAAAGATTTGAGACATTAACCCTTTTTGAACTCCCATATTGGCAACCTATTGCTTCATATTGGCTACGATTTTTCTTATGAGAGTCATGTGACTATACCTGAAAAGTGATTTAGTCATGTGATACATGTTGTGTCCATACTGAATTGTATTTACCCCAGTACAGATTAGTAAGTAGACAAAAGAAATGAACATGCGCTTTCTGAATGCAGTTTAATGATAGGCTTCGTAACATGTTTATACTTCTACAGCAATCACCCAAGTGGTAACAACTTGGACAGTTTTTCTACTGTTTATATTGTAATTCAATAAAACAGATATTGGGCATATCCTATACTCTGTTATTGTAAATATTTTAGTACCTTTCCAACACGAAAACAGCATCAGGGATTTACAATTTTATCTGACGTGGCACACATGCTCGAATTCTGATGTAATGCTGTACAGTACATTTGAATGACACCATTTTGTGCAGTTCTACAGTCAGCAATACATGGATGTCTTTTAAAAGTTATGTTTTACAGATGTTTGAATTTGATAGGAATATATATATGTCTAGCATATGTGTTTGTAGTATTATGATTATGTACATTAAAATCCAATGGAAGTGTAAACGGATGTAAAAATAAGAGAACTATGGAATAACATGGTCATCAAGTGATTCATACAAATAATCCCGAGAGATCTGAATTCTTAATTGGCTCTCCTTGTATATTAACGAGAAAATAATACCACACAAAATGTAAGTGATTCAAAGTATAATCTTTTGGATTGCTATTCTGCTAGAATTTAAGTTTTATTTCTATCGATGGTGAAAATGGAAAACAAATAACAAAAATCTTCCCAAAAAAAAAATATAAAAATAATCTTTCATACCTCCTTAGACTTATCTCCCTTGGGTAAACTAAGAACTCCTATTAAGAATATTGTCTATTTAGTACTTACCTCCCTCAGTGTACACCGAGCCAAATCTATAGTAACACATTTTGTACATCAGACAATTAAGTAGGGTCGGGGAACCGTCTTTGTCAATGCGGAACTCTCCCTGTGGTGTATAGTAGTCAGATTCCTTAATGTGTGCCCCTCTATCTGTGCTACCTCCAATCCTTACCATCCAGAGGAACTTGTTAATATCTGTTGACATATTCAATTAAATCATTGAATATTTCTATATACAAACAACTGATGAGTCAGGTTAACTGATATGTAGTAAATGATAAACTTCTCTTTTTCCAAAAATAACCTTTTTAAGTTTCAGATTATATCAACTTTCATTAAAACCAACCACTAGTCTGGTTGGAAATATGCGAGGGTCTCACTGTGGAAGGTCCTCAAGTACTCAAACTATACATATTTGGAAAGCATTCTCCCCCTCACTAATATTGAATAGTTCAGCACTGAAGACTTCCTTAATCCCATAAGAATCAAAGCCAATTGAAATTTCTGCAATTTTCAAATTCAAATTTCTTCTAACTTTCTAACAAATTTTTCGCTTCACTTGAAAGAAATAAAAAATAAAACTCTATTTTAGGTACTGAAGGAGGCATAATTATCAAAATTCTTACCATCAGAAGAATATCCTGTTAATCCACCAAATATGACAAGTACATAATTGACATCTAATTCTCTCATTATCTCATAAGCTTTATCTTCTGTTGATGACATGGCCTGAAAAAATAAATATCCATTTAACATTTCTTAGTCCAAATATGACTGAATTGTCATTGACTGTTTAAAGCTGATAACGTTAAATTCTCAGTAACAGTTTTCTGTGGAGAGGAAGGGAAATTTGGTCAAAGTTTGCTAAGATGGTTGACAAAAAAAAAAGAAAAAAAAAGAAGGCCTAACGGTCTTGACGTTCACCTAAAATAAGCAATATTGAATATAAAGGTTAAAGGATAGTTATCAATTGTCATGAAACAGAAGTTGTGAAACTGAATATAGTAAGCCAGGGTCAATGTATTCCATCAAAACTATCATCCTATACTGATAACTCTTATAAAGTTATTTCCAGTGGGAAATAACCAACGTAATGCTCAAAAATGCAACTTGACCCCTTTTTGCACTGCCCATCAGCCCATGGGGGTCAGTTAGGATCAAAATGGGCATGCCATCAAGTCGTCATCCTTCACTCATAATTCTAACCAAGTTTGAAATATTTCCAATGGAAATTAACAAATTACGCTCAAAAATCCCCCTCCCCATGGATCACACATCTTAAGATGCTTCAATCCATGAAGAGTATTTAATTCTAACATAGCTGGGTGTTCAGATGAAGATTTTTGAAATTCAAGTCAATTTGATCCCTTTTGGCCTTGCCCCTCAGGCCCCTCGGAGGTGGGGACTGCATTTTTCACAAGTCTGGTTCATCTCAGGCCAGGGAAGGTTTCTGCAAACTTTCATTGAAATCAGATCAGGGTTTTTTGAGAGAAGTTGAAAATGTTAGATTGTTTACAGACACACAATGCTGAATGAAGGCGAGTAGAATAGGTCATTATGAGAAAGTCTCAGGTGAACTAAAATTTTTAAAAAAATAAAGAAAATGATACACATACAAGAAGACTCATGGGTCTGCATTTCTCAACTGGTAATCAATGTTCATCACAAATTTGAAGTGGCACATCCAATCAATTTTAACAAATTTTCAAAACAAAATTAAGCTTCTAACTCTCATCTGTAAACATAGACAGTTATGACCAGGAATATAGGTCAGGCTTTGTCCCAGGAACACCTTTGTACCAAATATTCTTTTCTAATTTATGGTTCATCATCAGAAGCTTTTCAAAGTACAGACATATTTGACCCCTGTGATCTCGAATATGGTTTAAATTAATTTCATTTTGCAAACTTTGGTGGGATTTCTCTAAGAGGCCTACCAATCAAATATGCTTCTAGCCTTTTGTTAAATCAGATGTTGTTTCAAGGTTCTGACAAATTTGACACCTGTAGCCTTTAATACGGATCAAAGTCATTTTTCTCACACTTCAGGCTTCATTTTAGGGACCTACCAGAAAAATACCATGCTTCTTGGCATTTCAGTTGATAAGAATTTAGACAAAATTTGACCTGTGTGATCTTGAATAGGAGTCAAGGTAATTTCTTTTCACAAGCTTGTTCAGCTCCATCCAAGGGAACTACCAGCCAATTATCATGCATCAAGGCCTTACTGCTAGTTAGAAGAAGTTGTTTCAATGTTGTGACAAATCTGACCCCCTATGACCTTAAATGTGAGTGAGGGTTGGTCTATATCCCACAAAGAAGCTGTTAAAAGTTTAAAGGGGCAGACAACGGATGCTGCACCATGACAAAAGCCCACTAGACCTGTGGCAGGTAAGCTAGATACACTGTTTGCTCTAAAATTTGACATCAGTAAACCATTGTTGTTTTTTTATCTTGATATAAGCCAAATAAGTAGAAATTATTCAATCTTTATCTTTCACTGTTAATTAGAATTATCAACAAGTGCTATATCATTCTCATATAGTAAGGCCTGGTCATGTGTTGACCCACAGGCTTATTGCATAGTAACTACACTAGTATCTGTTTCCAATGTATAATCTGTACCTGTCCAACGCGTGATATGTGAGTATTGTTCCAAGTGTTATTGTCAACCAGTATAGTTCTATTAGCCATGGCTGTGATTTGATAGCCATAATCCCACCACGACATCACCTTTGCATCCTGCAAAAATATGAAGAATAGTTTAGACATTGCTGAATCTAAGATAATTAATGCCAATATCTTGACAGTGACTGTAAGAAATTTGTTCAAATTTCACAAATTCTCATCAAACGAAAACTTAAAAAAAGATTTTTTATAAATGAATGTGACCTAAAAAATGAAATTGACAATTACCAGAGTAATTATTTACAATACAAAGATTAATAAAATCAATTAATGTTATGACATTAATTTTCGTTGAGTATTTATTTTCATATGTCAATGATCTGTTAAAGTAAGTAATAATAATTTTTTTTTTCTTTTAAAAGGCAAAAAATGAGCCCATGAAAAAGTATGATTTCACAAGACTCAATGAACTGGAAATATAAGTTTTTTTCAATGGCTGAAATTCAGGGAAAAATCCCTTCTAAGGCACAAGTAAAGACTTAGATGTGGGAAGTTAATGAATCTTGGTTACAGAATAATTTGTTCTTGTGTAAATAATTCAAGACCTGTTTCAGGAGCCTTGATGTCTCCACAGAATGATTTTCAGAGGAGCAGGAATTGCTCCAGACTTTTATGTGGCAAGTGTGGACAGAAGCTCATGGCTTCTCAATACACAGCTTGCTTGACTATAGATACCAGTCCAATATACTTCATATCCTACAGTGTTGGCTATTCCAAATAATTTGGATATGCTTGTAGGGAATATATTTTAAAATCTCTCTTACAGCTTAAATCAAGCATGGGTGATTTACTCTACAGATCCAGAAAAAAATGAGAAAGAGTATTCATAATAAGAACTCCGTGCAATTCCATGCAATGTTTGACTTGCTGAATAATTAAGTATATATTTTTTGTCTTTTCTGAATTGTATGCCCTATGACCCAATCACTCTCGGAGTAATTGAGCTTATTGTAACTTCTCACAGAATCTGTCAATGCAGAGGTAATTAAGTCTAACTTCTATATCTACAGCACAAGTTTCAGACATACAGGATGATAGAAAACACATTGAAGATGTTAGTTCAACAAATCTCTCCATGTTTTATGATATATCAAATCATCAACCTATACCAGGTTCATCAAAGGTCTGTTCATTTACCTGGGAAAACTGATTCATCAGCACCTTAAATGATACATTTCTGGCATAAATTAGGATGAGCCTGTAAATATCTATACCGGCCTCAAACGGCTTGGCTGAAGCTTGACAGAAAGCGAAATAAGATCAGTAGGTCTTCACTTATGTAATAAATGAACAACCCTGGTCCAATTTGTCAAACTAATGTAAACAGCCAAGTTATCAAAGTTCTACACAATCTGGAGTTCTTTCCACTTTAGTTTAGAGTTACAAAAGTGCAAATAAAATCTTTAATCTTTTACTGAGGAATATTAATCCTAAGTAGAACTTAGATATGGTTTCGTATACTGCATATATTTTTTAGTACTGGTATATACCGTACCTACTAACTAACAAGACCTGACTGAATACACAAAAATATTCTGATCTTTGTACTTAAGTCTACAGCATTTTCTTGTCACCTTGCTTTTTGATACTCTCATATGATTGGTTGATATATTATAACTTTATGTCTATGGCATCTGGTGGCAATGTTTGAATCTAAAGAAATTACAACTTATTTTCAAACTTGGATTGTACCAGCATGTATGATGACCTCTGACCAGTAAGTCAAGATCAAAGAGGTGATCAGCTGACCAGTCGCTATAGCAAGACTTTGAATTGGACACCGCCACAAACAGGCAGAGTACAGAGTGTTAGCTTGCGAGAAAACAGAATATGTAGATCTTAGAAACATGTGCTTTGGGTGTTTAGTGAGATAGGTGTGTATCTTTAATTTTGGGACCAAAGTTCTACTCTTCATTAAAATAATGGTTAATTTTGTGCAGGGCAACACTGTCATACAATGTTTCACATCAATAATCATAATAACACAAATGATTTGAAGATTACGGTAAACCTTTGAAACCTAAACAGAAAATTATTGTGTTCATTGAAAAAAATATTTGACCTACCCGCCTATTCAAACAGATGGGATGTTCACTTTTAATTTCTAATGTCTTGAAAAGGCTGAGGATACAATCTTTAAAGTCAATTAAACATAGTATAAAACATATTTGTGTAGATGATTTTTAAAACTGAAATATATTGATCCAAACACTTCTTAGGTTTATTTCTGTGCTGTAATTACAAATAATGTCATCAATTTCTACCAAGCAGTACACCTAGAATACAATGACTTACCTGATTTGTTGCAAGTGTGACTTTGCGCATTCATCATAACAGTTGCTTTATAAATGACAGTACTCACAAAATAGTGCCATTAAATTTTAATGCTATACTTGTGGCACAAATACACTTAGATAAAATCACCACCAAAATATGTAAATTTAAAGGATTCACAATTATCACAATCAAATTAAAATTTTTCATTTAAAGTAATCGCTGTTGTCAGTATTTCTGTTACTTAACACTGACAAAGCATTAACATATATACAGATAAAATAAATTGAATCTAATAGCTATATATGGAGCCATATAAAGAACATTCCCATAATACCATACCTCTGGGGTGTTGTGTCTTAGCCAGTAATAAGCCTCTCTGAAGTCATCAAAAATGATTCGACCTCCATCACCAGCACGGGCAGACAGAACAATGGAAGGACTGGAGTAAGCTTCGGAGGTCACCCAAGTACAGTGGAAGGTGTAGGTGATGAGGAAGGCTGTGATCATGAACACTACACCAGTGGCTACCTGTAATGGCACAAAATGTGTGTGAGGAACAGAGCTGTGGCTACCTGTAATGGCACAAAATGTGTGTGGGGAACCCAGCTGTGGCTACCTGTAATGGCACAAAATGTGTGTGGGGAACCCAGCTGTGGCTACCTGTAATGGCACAAAATGTGTGTGGGGAACAGAGCTGTGGCTACCTGTAATGGCACAAAATGTGTGTGGGGAACAGAGCTGTGGCTACCTGTAATGGCACAAAATGTGTGTGGGGAACAGAGCTGTGGCTACCTGTAATGGCACAAAATGTGTGTGGGGAACAGAGCTGTGGCTACCTGTAATGGCACAAAATGTGTGTGGGGAACCCAGCTGTGGCTACCTGTAATGGCACAAAATGTGTGTGGGGAACAGAGCTGTGGCTACCTGTAATGGCACAAAATGTGTGTGGGGAACCCAGCTGTGGCTACCTGTAATGGCACAAAATGTGTGTGGGGAACAGAGCTGTGGCTACCTGTAATGGCACAAAATGTGTGTGGGGAACAGAGCTGTGGCTACCTGTAATGGCACAAAATGTGTGTGGGGAACAGAGCTGTGGCTACCTGTAATGGCACAAAATGTGTGTGGGGAACCCAGCTGTGGCTACCTGTAATGGCACAAAATGTGTGTGGGGAACCCAGCTGTGGCTACCTGTAATGGCACAAAATGTGTGTGGGGAACAGAGCTGTGGCTACCTGTAATGGCACAAAATGTGTGTGGGGAACCCAGCTGTGGCTACCTGTAATGGCACAAAATGTGTGTGGGGAACAGAGCTGTGGCTACCTGTAATGGCACAAAATGTGTGTGGGGAACAGAGCTGTGGCTACCTGTAATGGCACAAAATGTGTGTGGGGAACCGAGCTGTGGCTACCTGTAATGGCACAAAATGTGTGTGGGGAACAGAGCTGTGGCTACTGAGAATGACATTATTATCCTATTGTGTTTAGCAAATTTTATTTATCGAACCAAAATTTTAGATTTATATTATAGAGATTTTGTCTGGTGGCTTCCTCCTGGAACAACATTCAGGAGGCGTGTCACATGCCATCCAGGGTTAAAATGTCTTCCCAAAGGACATGACAATGTCATCACAGAATGGTTTGCTTTCTGAGAACAAGAGGCCCATGGGCGTTAATGGCCATCTCACAACAAACACTCTCAGCAGGGAGAAAGGTTATTATTTCTACTTTGAATGAAATCTTACTAAGATGCTGATGGTAGTTTTGGTAAGGAGAAGGTAACTGTAACAAATGTTACTTTTTTTGTGTGTCAGTAAAGTTGGAGCTCAATCCTATTGGTGAAACTAGAGAAGTTTGAAATAGATGTTGCACAGAAAAACCATGATTGAGGGATTAAGTTACAAAATGGCCTCTCTGACTGCAGTATCAATGTTTTGACAAGGTCAGAAAAATAGCAACACTTTGTTGGCTATCTTTCCTTGACATTCCCACCAATTTTTGGCTCAATGGCACCAGTGGAACTGGAGAAGAAGTTTAAAATACGTTTTTCAAGATGGTGGCCGTCTTGGATTTCAGACTGAAAAATAACAATAAATCAGGACCATCTCAGGATCATTTCATGCATGTTTGAGCTCAATCCCACTGGTAGAACTTGCGGCGTTTGAAATGTCAAATGTTTATGTACAACAGATGGCGACGGACGAAGCACAATCACTATAAGTCATCATAACTCTTCGCATCAGATGACCTAAATACAAGACACCATGGCACTGTTGAAACACAGATCACCATCTGAGGGCCAATGCTATACCAACTAAGCTATTGTGCGTATAGATACAATGTGTTCAACAGACACTCTCATTACAATTTAAAACCAAAACACAATGAAGGATTAAGTTTTCAGGAAAATTTATGGATTTGGTGAGCTTTATTACATAAGTACCCAATTTATCTAACAAAAATCTTCAGATTTCTGACTAAGAGAGAAATTTGACATTTTGATAACAACAGAACATCATTTGTTGAAAATTCTACTGAACTAAGCAGTTAAAGAAAGCAATGGAGGTATCACTAGATAAATATGATAATCATTATTAAGAAGCTTTCAGTATTTAAAAAAAAACACATTTGTGCCAAAATTACCTCATTTTTAAATGGGTAGTTGGTAACCTCTCCTTTCTTGGTCTTTTTGGTTTTCTTCATGATGTCTAGGTTCTTCATGTAGGATGTGAGAGTGGCCGAAATACCAATTCCTGATAGGATACACATAACTGGGGCGAGAACCAACATCAGACGTACCATCACCCCGGCAAAGTAGATGCTTGTAGCTCCATACATGATGATAAAGATATTGGCATCAGTCAGATGAGAGAAGCAGAAGTAGAGACCCACTGTGGTGTAAAAGAATATGTGCTATCAGTACAGTCAATTAGCCAGTCGTGGTGTGTTCATTTAAATGTTTGAAATTTTAAAAGGGACAAAAGTATTTGTGGCAAAATAAAGAAACTGAAAAATGATAATAGAAAAAAAAAAAAAAAAAGAACAAAACTAGACAATGTCTGTAATTTGTCAAAGAATGAAGTTGCTAGATTCTTACATTGAATCGGGATGGGACAGGATGGACATCGGCAATGCTATGTACATATATACCAACCCTTTCCCATTATAAGGTGGTGGAATATAAATTCTGAAGTGATTGTGATGACCATTACTGGCAACCCACCATCGATAAGACCAGAATTTTTCTGGCCTTCAATACCAAACAATTCTAAAATGGTACCATACCTCTCAATACAATTTACCAAGCTTTAAACTTCTGTTTTCTATAAAATCTTAGAATGTTATTGACACATTAAATGGCTAACACCGTCATGTACTTTATTCTTCACTGACCTGGAAACATAAACACGAGGAGCTGAAGATCAAAGTAGAAGGAACTCCACGTGGTCGGCTGATGTTCCGATACAGAAGCAATAATAGGAATGTTATTTTTGGCATAAGATGGGTCAAGCAGGGAATAGAAACGTCCAGTCCAGGGAGAGATTTCTTATCAAAGTTAAGGTTAAAACAGAATCCTATATGCATGGCTTTCATCCTGACCACAGCTTGACCAAAAACATCACTAGCACGTATACTAGTGCACTAAAAAAGAACCATGCTGTGTTTTTTTTTTTGCAGAATTAGCTTTCCCATGAGTTTAATAAAAGTCTACTTGCCCATCTGGCATGAATTTCTCATAACAAATGAAATATGGAAGCTTTACTACTATTTCAAGACAATATGAGAGCATATTTATGCATGTACAAAGATATATCCTAAAATATAGAATAGTTTATAGGTTTTATCACTATAGCTCTAATTTTAAGAGAAATGATTCAGACAGACAGCCAGCCAGCAAATTGATAAATCTTTAATTGGGTGAGGATGAGAAAAGGATAATTTTTTTCCTAAAAGAAAGCTACCTATACATAGTAAAATATTTCAATGACCTGATTTTGTGTATTTAGAAAATCAAACACAATGAGATAATTTCAAAGGATACTGCCTGTTGCTGTGGCAATGGCAGCAGCAGTGGTCCCCAGAATTCCCACCAAGAGGATGATGCTCCTGAACAGAGTGTTAAACTGCTCAGAAGTCAATTTGGATCGGATGTAGTCAACAAAAGCATGGATCTGACAGAGACCAAACACTCCAAAGGCCTGCAGTAATAAAAATTCTTTTAATATATATTTTTTTCATTATTTTAAATTTTCAAAAATGCTTTGAATTTTTTGAAAATTTTAAATTCTAATGCTAAAAATACTCACAGAAAAAACCCAAAGCAAAACAAAAATCCCACATTTTCATGAAAAGACCATAATGCAAATAATTTTTCTTATATTATTATCTTCTTTCTTATTTAAATTGCATTTTCTATTATGCAGAAAATGTACAAATGGCTTATTAATTGTATATATTCGATGTAACATTTAAACATCAAAAGGAATAAAGGGATGACATTTACTTTTTATTTTCAAATTGGAAAATCTTGTCAAATTATCAAGGAGATTTCAAATGCATTCACAACACTTACGGCCATGTGCTCACTAGACTGAACAGGCTGGAAACCGACAAATGAGATTTGCATGGACAGGATGGTACCCAAACAGTACACCTGGAATACAAATTAATCCAATGCAAACCAATTTAGCATTATAATGACACATGTTCAGAAATCATGGCAGACACATTAGCACAGCATTACTTCATTGCTACACGTGATATTGTTGAAACATTTTTTGATATAAAGCATTGTTCTGTGAGTTTGTTTTCATAATGGCAATTATTAGTACATCTTCATGCATAAATTATTGATAGTTAGGCAGATATAATTAATATTTATTCTTCAAAGGGATAATTATACACTTAATGTTAATGACCATGAATCACCTGAGAGATTTCCGACAACCCATTTCATTAGGAACTCCATGTACCAATATTTCATATAGCTAAAAGGTTATGGTATTTCATTATGCACATCATCCAGCTTAAGCTGGTGTTCCAATGTGCGAGTTAGGAACGCCAGCCATCACTGTTATCTATTAGAGATCAATACCTGTGTTTGGAACGCTAGCCATCACTGTTATCTACTAGAGATCAATACCTGTGTTAGGAACGCTAGCCATCAATGCTATCTACTAGAGATCAATACCTGTGTTAAGACGCTCGTCATCAATGTTACCTACTAAAGATCAATACCTGTGTTAGGAACACTAGCCATCAATGTTACCTACTAAAGATCAATACCTGTGTTAAGACGCTCGCCATCAATGTTGCCTACTAGAGATCAATACCCGTGTTAGGAACGCTAGCCATCACTGTTAGGTACTAAAGATCAATACCTGTGTTAGGAACGCTAGCCATCAATGTTACCTACTAGAGATCAATACCTGTGTTAAGACGCTCGCCATCAATGTTGCCTACTAAAGATCAATACCTGTGTTAGGAACGCTAGCCATCAATGTTATCTACTACAGATCAGTCAGCAAACTGTATCACAAATGTTGAAATTACAAGTCATTTGTCCAATCTGTACTCCCAACATATTTGTGTTATGCAAGTGTTTTTTACTTACCGAGGAATAAGCAACATAGATACGATGGGAGAAACGTCCGGTCATCATAAGGGCAAGCACGTGAAGGGGGATCAAGTTGATAAGGAAAACATATCCTCCCCAAGATGACACCTATCAAAATACAAAAAAAATTAAAAGTGTCTGTGCAAGTCTAATGCAAATTTCTACACTCAAATACGGGGCATTATCTCTTCACACCAAAAGTCAATATAGGAATATAGGTTATCCCTCTTCACATTAATCATTTTGTTACAGTCTCATAATGAGGTACGTTTTGGGAATCAACCATAGATATCTTATTATAATCTTAGAACTTGTTTCCTTGTCATATTTGTTAAAATATTCAACAAAAAAGAAGTTTCTAAAAGGTGAAACGCATTCAAAATTTTCTTATGTAAATGTAAATGGGGTCATTTTTAATATATATTTAGATAGGTTTCCTGTTAATCAATTAGGTATTACTTTTCATAGCTGTACCAGCATGTACGATGACCTCTGACCAGTAAGCCAAGGTCAAAGAGGTAACCAGCTGACCATTCACTCTAGCAAGACTTTGAATTGGACACTGCCACAAAGAGGCAGAGTACAGAGTGTTAGCTTGCGAGCAGACACCATCTTTTGTCATATACCAGGAAGTATAACAAGGAACCCGAAACACTGCTTGATATTACAAGGGTAATGATAGGATTGCTCTTATTATTTTCAACTCATGATCTTATGATTTGTCACTGCATGGGTATCTGTGGCTTTAATGGAAAATCTTGCCATATATTTACCATGTAAAAGTATGCCAGGGAACACAAACAGCCCCAAAAAATGGAGCCAGTCTTAACTGCCTTGATCCATAAGGTGTAAGTCAACAACATACAGAAGATGGCGATGCCCTCGTTATCATAGGATCCAGCCACAGAACGTGAGATGTAACCAGGGACAATAGAAATCATAGCTGCCGCTACTAGCCCAGCACTGGCATCCTGTAATATAAGGATGATGGGTCAATAAAAGTATTAATATTCTACTGCAGTTAATATTCAACTATATATAACCTCTATAACTATATTAAAGATGACAAGTTTTTTTTCTTTATTTTTGCAACGAAAAAAAAAAAAAAAAAAAAAGATTTTGAAAGCCTCTGATGAAAGTGATCTAAGGACTAAAAAACTCTGAAAATTTACTCTCTATGAAATGAGATTTTTTCTGAACAAAGACAGAAAGCATCTAAAAAGTTAAAAAAGTGGGACAAACGTATGAGAATATTTTCAGCAATAAACCTAAAGTTGGATGTCACATACCTTTAGCTCCTTCGTAAAGTGATAAGTGACAAGCGTTGTGAGACTGGAGAACAGCGGAGCCAGGAACACGCACACATTTCTGATGTCAATGGTGATGTGGAAGAAGTTCATCACATGGTACAATGCAGCAGAAGTCACCATCAAACCTTTGATACATTTTAAAAAATTTCATTCTGAAATTTCTCACAGTATTTCTTTTTAACTATTGCAACTTTATCAGCAAATCTTTTTAATACTGTTTAATGTATTATTTTCCTAGCCAATATTAGTCTAAATCTGCCATAAGGAAGATGATGTTAGCAGTTTGTTTTTAGATGTTGGATATTCAACTGATTTTATTGCAATTTTAAAAAGATATGTTGAAACATATCAGACTTTCAATGCATTATCTGGCTCAACTGTATTTAATTCTAAATTTGTATAGAAAGGCGATATTCACTTGTGTGTCTTTTTTTTACAATCCTTCCACATGTTTTCTTTTACATGTTTAAAACCAAAAGCTGACACTTTTCTTTTGTTTCAAAGTGACAAAGTAGGAAATCCTGTTGTAGCCCAACAGAAAATGTTTGAAATATTTCAATTTCTTATCTTTGAGCAGTTTTAAATGATCAGATAAAAACTGTCTGTATAGAATTTAGTCTGTACCTGGATAGATGGTACCACCAATGATACGACCCAGGGGATACCATGCTCGGTCATCAAACCAGTTATGGAACTGATAGAATCCTTCCTCGGTTAAGTATCGTGTTGTCCGGTAATTAAAGTAGGGATCAAATTCGTGGATAACACTTTCAAACCTCAACACAGAAAACAGCCGAGTAGAAAATGCTGAAAATGTACCATTGAAAACATCATGAGCTCTTGGGGAAAAATAAATTGTTTTCTCATATACCTTAAAAAATAAATGCACTCTAAAAATGCTGTCATGAATTGATTAACAACTAATGCCTCACTTTTGGCATTATATAGAACACTATTTTAAATTTTAACTATTTCAGTTAAGACTATTTCACTATAACATCTACTTCACCTCACCACTCAGAATTAATAATCCCTGGTTAAAATTCTTGCTTATTACTTCTGATCAAATTTTCTTGTAAAACTAAACTTTATGGGTAGTACCCCCAAACAATACCTGAGTCTTGGATTGAGTTTTATGTTTTACTGGAATCTTTCTTGGGTCCAAGTTTGTGATCAGTATTTTAGTATCTAAACAATGTTTTTAGCTCCATAATGATAATTCTTTTTAGAGAAACATCAAATAATGAAAGCTAAAATTCAATGTTTCCCACTGTATATACTTCCAGTCTATACTAAAATTGGAAGGAAGTTGAATGGGAAATTATCACACTCAGAAATGCGAATGAATTTTTCTCAATAATTTGGGCCAAAAGTGATAAAACTAACAAGATAAATTTTAAGGCTGACTTTTATATGCATCTTAGATTTTTTTAATAATAACAAAAAATTCCTTTGTAATATAGTCTGTAAAATATCTAAAATTTATACAAATTTGTATACATTCAACCAAGTATCTGTGAAGCCTAGATTTGATACAAAATGCAAAACTTACACAATATCCCCGCAATGGTAAGGATAGACATCTTAAGAAGGGTGTCCTGCTTATCTGGTGACATCTTGAGAAGCCAAGACATTCCGAAAACAGCATTGCTGCTTGAAGTCTTCATGATTGTGTGGTCAACGTTAAAACTATCTAGAAATAAAAGAAATGCAACATGTCAATTGTTATTTTTTACCTGTCAAAAGTAAGTCCATGTTAAACAAAGTTGTGTGTGGGAAATCAGTTCCATATCAATTGATATCCAAACTAATGATGTTATATTTTGAAGGTATACTGGTAAAGTGTTTCGAACTAAGACAGTTATGAACAAAATCTGGGACAGTTGCAGCCTGCTTCATTTGACTTTCACCCTACTGATTAAACTAAAATAGAGGTAATTCGTTGCCAAGTCAGCAGAGAAGTACTTCAGCAAAGTCATAATCACTTTCCCTCCAGGAGAGTTATTAAATATGATTACCAATCTGATGATGCTTGTATCATTTTAAACGATATGATAATCTGTCCCTTTAAAACTAATATGTACATTGATTCTATTTCTATCGTTTTAAAATCAATGTTTTCCAAACCAGCTTTTTCTGATAATTTTTAACCCTTTGACTTCTGAAATACATGAATGGTTGTTGAATACATGATCCATCAGAAACTTTTCCCCTTTCACACTCAATTTCTTCCACAAATGATGAATGCTGACAAGCTTCGTGAACTTTTTTGCAAAAGAAAAGTACAGACAATTAATTATATACTGAAGACCGAATCTTTCTGACGTTCTATCACAATTCGATATCGTCGACGTCCTGGTCGTTTAAAAAAGGTTGATATAACAATATCAGAAAGTTGTAGCAACGAAAATTTACACTCGACACATGTCCACGCAAAAATCTCGGGTTCTCGGGCGTTGTGCAAAGGCTTAATACGCCCTCTGGGCTGCCCGCCTAAATATGACCCTTTCCTCTCTTCAATTAAAATACACGAACAATAATTCAGTACAAATGGATGTTATTTCCTAAATGTCTTTTTTTATCAAGTTGTGTATGAATGAAGCATTAGGCCTACTTTCAAGTTTTGTATGGGAAAGCTTGCCACATCAGCACGTGTGTGCATACAGGTGACAAACCGGTTTGCGAATATTGTTGGCATGTCAGTTTTGTCATTCTTTTCGCAATGTTTTGTCTGCATGTGTCAACTGTAAAATAATTTACAATTAGACGAATCGATAATGACAATGCATCGAATTAAATTATCACAAATTACACCATTTTATCATCTTTCACATCCTTACCCCGGTGTTTTGACCAAACGTACAACGTCTCCAAATGAAACACGAATTTTGATTGGTTGAGATAGTAGAGAGTTAAAATGGTGAATTATTTTCCAGCGATGAAAATGGTAAACTGTTCCATATTAAGCTTAACTATTGATTTTATATCGTTATTACATTGTCAGCAATGAAAAATTTCAAATATTAACATTTGTGAATAATTATTCGTGGCAAGTTGCTGTTTCCGACGGATAATCTTACAAATGTTTCGATTGGCTTATATCTGTTTTCGAGGTCAAGTGTAAAGGTCAACTATTGACCTCTCGTGGCAGAATGGAAGTATGTATATGGTGTAAAGAGACTTCAAGATGAAACAGGTATTTATACGTTGTCACAACTGTAGCGCAATTTTTATTTTGGATGTTATTGAATCTAAGTCTTTTGCTAACTATGCATTACTGCTCCACATTGTAGAAGTTTATTGATATTCTGCTAATGTGAGGGCGCTGATGAGCAGATATACTGAGATACATGCAGTAGTTTATACTATATATATATATATAGACACTGACAACTTAGTTGTATTGTATATATTTACAACACATGTATGTATACACTTTGTAATTTGATAACAACATCGAAATAGTGTTCTTTAAATTAGCCTATAACATGTTATATTGCCTTCGTAGTAAGACGTCATTTTGCACCGTCCTCTTAAAATGCCAAACGTGTAAACGATAATTAACAGATACGTTACCTAATATACGTGTATGCTAATCCATATTATGACGTGTTCTGCTGGTGCACCACTAAAAGGAATCTTTTCAGACAAATGGATATCTCATCATTAATAAAGACAAGTGGGGGCAGATACAGGAGGTCATTGTTATGGTCAGATCAACGTCAAAACACAATGTTTCGCAGTTTGTACTGATGTTTAGGATTAATTCATTAATATGAACTCTCATCACATACCCTTAGAAAAATAAAAGAAATGGACTTAGTTACAGTCAAATTTCATCATTTTTTTTCAACTGAAAATAGGTCAAGGTTATATTTTTAGCTCCATTACATCCCTACCACAGCAACATTTCACTACATGTCTTTTAAGTAATCTGCAGGGTTCTAACTATCTATGTCCACTATTTTACTTTTGTCTTGATCACAGATGATAGTCAGAATTCTTCCTTGTATAAAAACGCTAGGGACCCTAGCAAGGGTTGATATTCAGACATTGTTTTGTATGATTTACAGCAGTGCGATACTTATAAATCAATAACATCAATGGTAAGATTAAATGTTTTTCTACTGGCCTGCATGTGTGTCAGTGTAGTTAGATATTGTGAACTAACTCATTTCTTCCAAAAAAATACTTTCAATAGCTGCCACTATGCAGAAAATTGCTAGACTTGTTGTTGAAACCATTGTGGCCAATCTCACAAGAGATTACTTTTTGTTAGGTTAACTGTTCAGCAGGTGTACATGCTTACAGTGAATTATACGTGATCATTTTAAATCGTACTCCTAGAAGAAGGCTAAGGATCACTCAGATTTCATCTTCGAATTATGCAGAAAGTAGCTTCATGTGCCTTTGTCCAGGAAACATGAAATTAATGGTTTTGAGTTTGCACCTTCAGTTTTGTCAAATTTGCACATTTAATTAAGTTTATACACCTACATAAGTAGACTGAATAAATTGTTCACATGTGCAGTGATATAGTCTATGTAGTAGTACTAACCGCTGTCTCTTTAATTAATTAAGATGAAATAATAATGAAGTGTTCATCTTGAACAATAGTTTAATCTTACATATATGATTCAAGAAAAGAGTAACTAGACTAAAGATAATCTAGTAGATGCATGCAGTAATATATCTTCATAAATCTTTAGATGTCTTGGATTTGATTCCCTGAGCGAATATGAAAACGTATATGTGTCACCAGCCTGGTTATCCGCCCACAGTGAGACACCTCGTGTGCTTCACTCCGGGCCAAGAAGAGTGGTTGATTTAAGCTGATTGCTTGTTTTGCAATTGTTGTAAAGTAATTCAAGTTTATATTATATTAATGTAACCAAAAAACAACTCTAGTAGACTGTTTAAATTAAGTACAAGGATCCTGAGAAACTCTTAGACTGTGAGCAATGACAATGGAACAAAATAGCATCTGCTGTTATATTACATGATCTAACTAACTAGGCTATGTAAGGACCATGACAACTTATGTAAATTGACCAATTGATTTAAACCTTGGTATCAAAACCATGTATTTGATTGATTGTTTTTTTATCATTATGTCCTGAAAACACTGAAAGTCATATTACTCACAACCTTTTGTTTATTGAAAACTGGGGTTAATGATGCCAAGCAGAAATTGTGGCATTAGGAACTGTACAGCTAATATCACAGATGGCTATATTTATAGCCTGGCTGATTAACTCTGGAGCCGTAAATAAAGATATATAATGTAAGATAATGTGATACCCAATATTTACTCTTATAAACATTCTTCCTGCCTTTCTGTTTTCATATTCAAATGATCAATTTTTTTTTATTAGCTTACAATGAAAATATCACTACATTCATACCTTTGTAAACCTTTTGGTACTATTGGAATTGAAATAGGGGTTGCAACATAAAACATGTTTCTTCATTTTGTGAAAAAAACCCATGAAAATAGATATGTTTTATTTTTTTCAATCTGATTTTGAATTGAGTCAAATTATAACCTTGTTTAGTTCTGACATTTGATGAATTTCAATATATTGTGTCAAAGTTAGCAACAGGGTTATATAATTCACACTACACATTCAGTGCTAATATATAATGACATCCCTGGTAATTGTGCATAATTGACAACATACATTTATGGTGACTCAATCTGTTATTGATGATGTGATGGTTAATACTGTATTTTACTGTGGTAGCAGCTGGTCTCTGTGTGAATGAACTTGTAATGTGTTCATTTCTGTGTACAAGTAATATGATATGAAAATTCTGGCAATTGATTATTTTTAGATTTGAAAATTTTTATTCTTTGATAAATTCAACATAAAGAGCTAACACATTTTAATGTGTCCTTAAACTTTTGACATTCATTTGTGCATGAATACTAACTGATAGCTGTTCATTTTTTAGGTATGTAATATTAGGTATTTTGCAACATCATCCTCTACAATACTAATAATCTGAATATCCATAAGATATTTAGTTAAACCTTGTGGAAAGACTTGCAAGAATAAATGAAAGTGGATCTAAGATTTACTGCACAAAGATGGACTGCAGTTGTCAATCTGATACGATGTGCAGAGGAGTATAAACAGATGGAGGAAGAGATTCAGGGAGACAACCAAAGTGGACCTATACACATTCTCAAAGAATTAGAGCTTAAGAAGTGCAAAGCAGCAAAGTAGACACATTGAGGGAACTGGCAGGGGATTTGACAGGGAAGGGTTAGGGACTGAGAAGGAGAGGGGAATGGCCGCTAGTTCCAACAAAGCAGCATTTTGATGAAATTGTAAACATCCTGGAGACAGTGTTTGCCAGGAACATAGACAGAAATGTAAAGCAAGTACATATGTATCTACAATGCAGGGTTGGAGAGGAAGAAAGAAGAGAAGGAGGGAATGAGTAGAAGAAAAGGCAAAGGAAACGAGAAGGAGAGAGATAGCTAACATTGGGAAAGGGAACATTTGAGGCAATTGTATAGGGGAGTTGACAGCAGATCTAAAGGAGCTAATTAGTGAATTGCGTGAGAGCATTGCAGAAAGATCTGAAACACTAAGAATGGCAGGGACCAGTTGACAATTGAAAGGATTAGAAAGAGGCTAATTTTATCTCCTACCTTTTCCATCTCACGAAGAGACTTTTCAATAACAAGGGGTCAGGATGATTGAACTACGCAAATGAGGTAACATAAGAATATCCATGAAATATGCACAGTGACAGAAGGCGATGGAACACCTGACAGAGAATATGAATATTTTGGATCTGGCAGAGCCTACAGTGGATTTTGATGAGAGTGTTATTCAAAATTGTCATGAGGCTCAGGATATGAGGCAAGGGCAGGGTTAGCACCAGAACCTAATTCTTTATGATTTACAAAACCATCTCTTGATTAGTGAGGAGATTGTGGAAGCTACAGTAGGTGATTTGAAGGAGAGGGCGATTGGCAGACAGATTAAACACTGCTGACGGATGATTCATATGTTACCCAAGGAACAGAACTTCAAGGATGCAGCCAATTCAGCAGCATATCTCTGTTGAATGTGGAATTTGAAAGGAAGTTCATGCTTGTTGTCTGTTCAAGGTGAATGACCCTTTACCAGGGTGTACACAAGACAAAACATACTGATCCATACTACTCAAGTCAGTGTCACTGACCAAGGAGGAGTGTTGCTATACCCAAGTAATTATATTACTACATTAAAGAATGGGCTAGTCAGATTTGTTTTGGGTTACTGCTGATAGCAAGATTCAGTCAATTGATTCAGTTTATTGCTCACAGCTAGATTCAGTCGATGACCAGTCAGATTGAGTCAGATTACTGCTGACAGCTAGATTGAGTCTATAACCAGTCTGATTGAGTCAGATTACTGCTGACAGCTAGACTGATTGAGTCAGATTACTGCTGACAGCTAGACTGATTGAGTCAGATTACTGCTGACAGCTAGACTGAGTCAGGTGACCAGTCAGATTGAGTTGGGGTACTGCTGACAGCTAGATTGAGTCTATAACCAGTCTGATTGAGTCAGATTACTGCTGACAGCTAGACTGATTGAGTCAGATTACTGCTGACAGCTAGACTGAGTCAGGTGACCAGTCAGATTGAGTTGGGGTACTGCTGACAGCTAGATTGAGTCTATAACCAGTCTGATTGAGTCAGATTACTGCTGACAGCTAGACTGAGTCAGGTAACCAGTCAGATTGAGTTGGGGTACTGCTGACAGCTAGATTGAGTCTATAACCAGTCAGATTGAGTCAGGTTACTGCTGACAGCTAGATTGAGTCAGGTGACCAGTCAGATTGAGTTGGGGTACTGCTGACAGCTAGATTGAGTCTATAACCAGTCAGGTTTAGCCTGGTTACTGCTGACAGCTAGATTGAGACAAGGGGCCAGTCAGATTGAGTCAGGTTACTGTTGACAGCTAGATTGAGTCAGGTGACCAGTAAGATTGAGTTGGGGTACTACTGACAGCTAGATTAAGTCTATAACCAGTCAGATTGAGTTGGGGTACTGCTGACAGCTAGATTGAGTCTATAACCAGTCAGGTTTAGCCTGGTTACTGCTGACAGCTAGATTGAGACAAGGGGCCAGTCAGATTGAGTCAGGTTACTGTTGACAGCTAGATTGAGTCATTTGACCAGTCAGATTGAGTT